AAAAGCTGAAATCACTTTTTAACTACAAAACTCTTTTTAAAATTTGAGATGCATGCTATAGGTTAAAATAAGAAAAAAAAATGAATTTGAAATCTTTGAGGCATTGTTGGGTTAATACAGGCTAGGCCACCCAGACAGAAGCAGCGCTGGCTAATAGTGACCAAGAACAATAGCATGACCGTATTGACTGCAGGGAGGATTACAGAACATAATGGGGCCCATCCAAAAATAATGCTAATACGGGACAAGCAACAGGAAGCAGCAGGAGACTCAGCAGAGCCCAGCTCCCAGACAGACCGCGGACTGACTTCACACAATGCCAGCTTCAGCCCATTAGGTATTCACAGGATGCTCATTATTCCAACAGGCTTGCCAGATCAGAGTTGGGCCTCGTTTTATTGGCTACGGCAAGCCCATAGTTTGGATATCAGTACGTTTCACGTCCATCATTTTGGCAAGGGGGCGGCAGCTGTGTTGAAGTTCTTAACTACAGCTTTTGTTTTGTCTGTAGCTGGCTAGAGGAAACGACTCCTAACAGCACTTAATAGAATTGCTTTTTTTTTTTTTTATTCCCCCTCTCCCCCCAGGGTCAATGAAGTGCTTACCCATACCAGTGCCAGGAAACTGTAACTTTGTGACGTCTAAACGTACCGGTCTGTAGTCCCATGTCCGCCATCAGGGACCAAAGACAAGAACATGCCTGGGTTGTACCACAGAGGAGTGACTTGGCTGGTCCAATGATTGTAGATGGTGACTAGGCAAGCTTGGCTCTGATGAGCAGTCACTTAGTTAGTGGTACTTCTCAGTCTCAGTTTCGGAGGCCTGGAAGATCTGGGTTTAGCTCTTTTCTCTAAGACTGTACTAAGTCCTCTGGATCTAAGCCTTCATGTTAATTTGTTACCAGTTTCTTGTGGATTTGGAGAAGGAGGGAGAATTCCCTCCAACAAAACTATCTCCCCTCAAGCTACTGCTACTTAAATGTTCCTGTGACATTAGTGTTATAATAGGGATCCAGAAAAAACTTACTTCACTAACTTTAGAGGTGACAACCATTCACTTTGCAAACCTATTCAGAAATTGTAAACTACCCTAGCTAGCTTTGCCTCTAGGCAGTTGTTTCTGGATAATGGTGAGGACCCCAGTCTGTAACTCTTGGGTTGAATTTAGAGGTAGGGTAGAGGGAAATCCTTGTAAGATAGAACCACAGTTGAATGTTTGAACCTCAGCACCAGCCCAATCTGGCTCCGAGGGAATGGGGACTTCTAAGAGGTGAAGGTTTCAGTTGATGTTTAGAAGAGTTCTCTCCCTGATGAGTGTCAATAGATGTTGTGTTTTAGGAGGTGGAGAGCTTCTAAAATTCCTGAGTTTTATGAGAATGGCCCCTCAAATAGTTGGACTTCACATTCTACTGCAAGTAATGCTCCTTTATTTTCATAGCTTTAATGTGAGGTATTTAAGAGTAGGGTGGGTTCTTCTTCCCCCCGGGGTATTCATTAAACTACTAAGGTTTGAACATTTACATACTACTTGTTGGATGTTTCTTTTAAAATCTGCTTTGGTCTCCTAGAATCTGTTTTCTGGTCAAGATCAGATTTACAGTGGCTAATTGGGTGTGACTTTATCATAGTTCACTGCAGATTTGTGGCCCAGTACCTTGCTTTGATGGAATAAGGTAGTTGATCTGGAATTTTTGTGTCCCAGTGTATATTTGGGAATGGGCAGAGGTCAGGGGTGGGCATGGGAAAAATCAAACTTCCTTAGCCTTAGTAATCATTCCTAAGATATCTTAGTTGTTGATCTATGGGGGGGAGGGGGGAAGAAGATGAATGAAGAGAGAGGGTGAGAAGCCCCTCCTGTATCCCATGAAATGCATAGATTACTCAAAGCTTATGGACTTTGGGAGAGAAACATACCTTTCCTACAGAAACCTTCTGTGATAATAGTAACCTGAGATAATAATTTTGTTTTGTCTCAGTGTGTGTGTATGTAATCAGTTCAACAAGTATTTAATGCCTACTGTGTTCCAGGAACTGTGTTAGAGATGGGGAGACAAAAATGAAAACCCTTGGTTTTCCTTCACTGGGGAGTGGTAGGGAAATGTTTTCATTGATAAGTAATGATAAAACATATTCAAGTGATTTGAAGAGAGGAGAGCACCCGACAACTGGTGAGAGAGGGGGAAGGGCGGATCAGGAAAATCCTAGGATAAGAGGTGACACATGAGCTGAGCCTTAAAGGGAACTGGGGATTCTTGGCATCTTCCCAGCCTGGGGGGATGAGGGGGGTGCAGCCTGTGCAAAACATAGACGTGGGTGATGGAATATTGTGTATGAGAAGCAAGAAATAGACCATTTTGGCTGGAGTTTAGCATTAGTTAGAGAAGTGAGTGATGTGAAATCAGTCTAGAAAGATAAGTTGGAGACAGATTGTGAAGGACTTTAAAATACCGAACAAAAGTTTGTGTTTTATTCTAGGAAACTTCTTGAGTAAGAGAATGGTATGGTTAGCCCAATGCTTTTGGAATAGCAATTTGGCAGTAATGTAAAAGATCAGAGAGGTAAAGACCAAAGGTAGGGAGGCCAGTGAGGAGGCTATTGCTATAGTCCAGGTGACAGACATTTGAGGGTTGGAATTGAACTAAGGTAAATGGGGGAAGGAGGTTGGAAAAACAAAAACCCTAGTTACCCCTTCTTTCAAATTCTGGGGTTCCTTGGGTCCCAAATTTAACTGAAGCCATTAAATGGCAGTGATATGAGTAAGATAAAAATGTATTTTCTGTAGCGAAAATGGAGAAAAATATTTTCACACACAAAAGCGAAAGTTAGCCACTTGTTTGAAAAATTCTTTTGTCAGGTATGGGAGGATGTTACTGCCACAGGTTTTTGCCATCCCATTCCCTTAGGGTGGGGAGGTGTTGGTAAACAGCTCTTAAGAACTAAGTCCTGTAGCTGGGAAAGCTAGGTAGACTATGAACTTGATATTCCAAGTGCTTATTATGCAAGACCTAAAGGAAAACAACTTTGAATATTAATAGCTGCAGAGTGAGCCTACCATGTTAACCAATTCCGGTCTATCTTTTTGGCTTAAAACACACACACACACACACACACACACACACACACACACACACACACACACACACACAAGAATCTTACTTTTATTGGGCAAATCTGTCAAAATTTTTAGTATCATTGCCTTTAATCAAAAGATTAGTTACATCCGTATTGTTGATGGGAAGGTGAAGGGCATAGGTAGCCACATTGCCAGTAAATGGAGGGCTTAATTATCACACTAGAAGATGTCATTTAGTGCCTTAATTTTATTTTTCAGACTTAGATCTTTCCTTCAGTTGACTGTTGAAATCGCAAATTGTTACTGCTCTGAGAAAGAGTCCTGTGATCTTGTAGGAAATCCTGAGAAATTTTAAGAGGCTTTAAATAAGGTGTAACTTTCACTAATAAAATATTAACAACAACAACAAATAAGTCTTGACTGATAGCCACGATATAAGAGGTGAGGCCATGCCTCGGCATGCCTAGCTTTGCTTACTTTTCTAAGCATTTTCCCACAGTTATCAGAGAAGGAAATGGAATCCCAGTCATCTTTGAATATGAAACATATTTAGGCCATATTCCAAGGCAATGCCTATCACTAAATAGATTTCCATTCAAAAGACTACATGCTGTGTCATGTCGTGAGAAATAAGGCTTGCTTTAAATCTTAAAGTGAGCTTTCTGCCTCTACCTTCCAGGTGTTTACTTTTCCTACTTAAATCATTGTTTGTTTCTAGTAAAATAATATTTCATTGATGTATTCCACTATCACAAATGGTTGATATCTAACTGGGGCAAAGAAAGTATGTGTTACATAAATAAACTAGTACCTATGATTCAGAGAATTTGAAATTCTCTCCTGTCCCTCCAAATACACACACTTCCCTAGTACCAAAATAGAAGAAAGTTTATTTAAGCCTGGAGTTTTGTGACTCTGACCTTACAGTGGAGTCACAAGTAAAGATTTAACCAGATTGAAGTAAAGGTGGGAATTTGCTAATGGATTGGGGTTTAGGGACCTCTCTCTCTGCTTCTTTCTTTTTGTCCTTTCTTCCTTTCCTTTCTTCAGTTTTAGAACTAGAGATAAAAGGTGCCTTCCATATAATAGCTGGCACATTTCCAGTTTCCAAGGAGTCTGTCTAGTTGGTGGATGCTCATGATTATTACTAAAATGTTAGATTCCATTGACAGATAGTTTCATCTATTAATGTGACCCATAGGTTTACAGTTTTCTTTTTTTCCCCCCATATTCACCTCTCCCCTGCACCCCCCCATTGCAGGCTTTGTTTCACAAAGTCTCTCTTTTCCACCAACCCCTCCCCTCTTAGTTCCAAGATTCATCAGTCCTTTCCTTTAGTTACCTGATACTTGTGGGAGCAGTGATGGTCTAGCACAGACACAGCTTTCAAAGGGGTGCTGAAAAGGAAAAAAGGTCTCTAGAGATTGCCCAGCCAGGGTTCAGTGTGTAATCTTAGCAATGCCCCTTACTTTTCACTGTGTGGGGATTTTTTTTTCTTTCTGGGCAAATACCTGGTTAGCTTAGAATAAATTCATTGTCTGCTTTTATGTGCTATTGTTAGAGCCCAGCACATTTGAGAAAACTATATACCAAGTGTCAGTCTATAGCAAGGTGGCATTTCCTGATTAAGCCCATGAGATGCATTAGTGATGACAATAATGAGCTCAGGAAGGTGAAAGGTCCTGTTTATCATTCTGGATAAGGTAGCTTAAGGGGTTAGGAGAGTTTGTCTTTGGTAAAAATCTATTGCTTAGTTTAAATTTAAAACAGGCACAATCTAAACTGATTATAAATGCCATTTTCAGGTAGGGTCTCTGTGTATAATTGGCATTTGTGGGAAAGGGGCAGTCAAGAATGTTAATGAAATTTAGTCAAACATTCCCCACCATTGGAGTCTACATTTATTATTTATTTTGTCTGTTTTACAGAGATCCTACACCCTCCTTGTGGAAGCTTGGGATTACAGCAATGACACCAATAGTAAGTATTACATGACTAGACTTCAGCTTTAAAAAGCTCTCCCTAAGCTCACCTACAAAAACCTGCTCGTTTCACTGAATCAGTCATTTAAGACCATATGTGCCATTCACAATCTTCCCTTGACCTCAGATGGAATCTTTCTCTTTCTGGCTGATCTCCTCACTCCCTCTACCTGTTTCTCCTGTCCTGAGCTTGGATGACATTGTAGCAAGGGTAGTCCTTCCAGGTCGAAAGACTTCCTGTAACTCTTAAGTCCATATTTGAATTACTGTGTCTTTTAGGAAGGAATCTTAAGAAGTTTTACACTTTGAAATTCTTGACTTTTTTAAAAAATAATCAAAGTAGTGAAGAATGGGTCGAGTGTCACTTTTTACGGGGATTTTTATTTGGGCCTTTGAAGAATTATGACAAACCTACTTGTCCTGCCCTGAACTACTTAAAGGATGTTACACTGTCTTTTATCAACATGGCCTTGAATGATGACTTCTCATCTGTTCTTAGAAGGATAATCTTCAAAAAGAACTAGTTTATAAATAAAGTAGATTTGGGAGATGAGTGTTTCCAGAGTTATCTTAGTGTGCAGCAAGATCCCTTATTAAAGTGACCCTACGTGGCAAAAACATCTCTTTGAAGCAGAATTTCCACAGTCTTGCCATTCCTTTATTTTTTGAGAGAGTTTTTCTGATTATTTCTCTTCAGGAATCCTTGATCAGTACAAGAGTGCTTGTCAGAGCAGGTGGAGTGAGTTTTTCTATCTTGGGCCAAAAGGGGTAGGACCTTTCAATTACAGCATCCCCTTTCTAACTGATTAAATATTGCTTGCTTTCTTGGACCACTTCTTACACAGAGTTAAGTGAGCTCTGTTTTGCTAGTGAAAATCTCTGAGCTAAGTAAAACTTTAAGAAAAAGGCATATCTTATGTAGTCAGAATAAGTCTCTTGGTACATTATTGTATTTCCTGCCAAGTCTCTAACATCTCTGAGCTCTAGTGGGGATAATAATTTTTGCATAACCTATCTCTCAAATAAGACATTGTATTCTTTTTTTTTTCCATGGCTAGGCGATGGGGTTAAGTGACTTGCCCAGGGTCACACAGCTGCTAAGTGTCAAGTGTCTGAAGGGGGATTGAACTCAGGTCCTCCTGACTCCAGGGCTGGTGCTCTATCCACTGCACCACCTAGTTGCCTCCAAGACATTATATTCTAATTGCCTTGAAAACCTGTTGGGAATTGGTTGTGTTTTCTTATTCCTGTGAATCTTCAAGTATCTGTTTCTTTGTTTGAAAATCTTTTGGTCCTCTATATTACCACTAGCACTGCCTTCAGTCTTTCCCCTTTGCCTTACTCCCTTCTCTTCTGAGTAAAATCTGGCAGTAATCAGGAACTTCTGCTTTGCTCTCTCTGCCTAGATTCTGGAATGATATGGGACCTTGTTTTGGAGAACTCTATGTTAACCACTGATGGAATAATAACATGTAGCTGGCTAAAGTTTTCACAGTATAGTTATTGCTTATCTTGCCTGGATGACTTCAGAGTCAATCATTTATGCAGGGTGACAAGCTTCTGCTTTTGTCAAACAGTACAAATATAGTATTAGAGATTATATCCTTTTCTCTCTCTACACACACACACACACACACACACACACACACACACACACACACACACACACACACACACACTTCCAGGGAGAAAATTGCCTTGTGTAGTTATGGCATTTTTTGTTTTTACTAGCCTGTACTGATACGACTTATGTATACCTGTTAGTTCAGCTCACTTTCTCCTCCCTACCATTGGAACCAGGTTTAACAATGTTACACTGATCTATTTTATAAAAGTTTCCCTTCTTACCCCACCATGCTTTTTTTCTTTTAACTGGATCTGTGATTTCATTAATATAGGAAATTCTTCAAGAGTAAACTCTCTTTGCTGAAATGGATTGGTACCTGCTTTTCAGTTGATAGCCTTAAAGAGATCCTGGGAGGAATTCATTGACTTGTCCTAGGTTTCAAAGGCAGGATTTCAATTCGGGGCTCCTGACTTGAAGGCCATCTCTTTATCCACTATTTCACTCTGTCTCTCTCATCTAACCATTATCATTATTTAAAAAATTCTAATTATCTCTTTGCATTCATGCCTACCTTTCACTCTCCCGAAATTTTTGAAACCATTAACATGTTAAGCATAAGAGGAGACATTTATGTTGCAACTTCAAGTTTGCAAAAGTTCTATACACCCATTTTTAAAAAATCTTTATAATAATCCTTTAGTAGTTACTTCATAGACATCATTATTCCCATTTTCCTGAAGAAGACAGTGAGGCTCAGACTGTGTCTTACTCATTACACCATGTCAGAAGCAATCCCTGGACTTGAGGCTCTCCTCGCCCCTAGTCTAGTACTGTCTCCATAATACCATACTGCTACCTCACAGTATATTGTAGTTCTAGGCATCTGAAATTTGACCTTTGGCATTAATGTCAAAAAAGGTCATTTATTGTATACGTTATAGTGTGGTAACAGACTGGGGAATCCATCTGCCAGACGGGTCAGATAGGCACTGCATGTACAAATATAGCGTTTGGTAAACTAGTCACTTAAAAAAAAAGCATTAAGTACCTGCTATGTGCCAGGCACTGTGCTAAGCACTTCAGAAACATGTCATCTGATCTTGACAACAATTCTAAAGAGATACAATTATTAAACCCATTTTACAGTTGAGAAAAGTGAGGCAGACAGGTTAAGTGATTTGCTCTGAGCCACATAGCTAATAAGCATCTGAGGCTGGATTTGAACTGCAGTCTTCCTGGCTCCAGGCCAAGCTGCACCACCTAGCTACCTCACTGGTCTCCAGTAAAGTCAGAAGTATATAATTCTGTATGCCCCAGATTCTGACAAAACATTCTTGACTTACCATTATTGCTTCTGTATGCTTGGTCCTAAAATCTTTTAAGAGTCCCCCAAAGTAAGAGGGGGATGTGAGGATAAGAAGAAAATATTGCTTTAAGACTTGTAGTTGTAAAAGATAAGTTGCTATTATTTTCCACCTGTTGAGTGTTTGTAATTTAATCTCTGTGCTTCAACCTTGAACAGTGAGGTTAGGGTTTTTTTTTCCTTTTGTCTTGTTTAACTTTAAAAAAACAAATTACCGTCAATTTAATAGTCTGTCATGATTGAGTTAGCCACCTTCAGAGCAGGCCGAGTCTCTGTGTTGGATCTAAATTAACAAGGGCTGCAACATTAAAATAGTTGTTCGGGAGCATCGGCATTCTCCCAGCCCCTGGTTCTGGAATTGAGCGTGTCACTGTAAGAGCCTGGTTCAAGGGAAATAAAGTATTTACATGAACTCTTTTTAGAAAGTAGGTTCTGAGGCTGGTTTCTTGTCCTCAGTCCCATTACAGTGTTTTTATTAGATTACAACACTGCTTTGTATACGGTTCCACGTTTTTATTTCAGGGAGGTTACATGGTTTCAATTCCACTGTAATTCTTAATAAATATGTGAATGTAGAATCCAAGATAGTTTTTTCTTTAAAGCTTTCCCTTTTTGGCAAAGACTCTTATCATGTGCCAATACCCTCTTCTACCACCCCACTCCACCCCCTTTTCCATTGGTCCCAGGGTTATGTTTAGTAAAACTGAACAGATTTTTACCTCACTAACTATTCCCTCCTCCTTGGTCTACAAGGATATCTTTTTGGATGTTGCATGATAAATCTTCCCTGTGCAGTCAAGGACTACCAGCAGGTCACAGACAACAGTGTCAGATCCTTTTCAGTCACAAGGTTTGGACTGCAAAGTGAAATACCCCAGATATATACAATGTTCTGAACTGACACAAAATATTATTTCAGGCCATCACTTAGAAATGTTTAGGTAAGTTTCAAGTCTGCAGACAATTTCTGCACCTAATAGCTCAGCTACTAGAGGGCATGTCCCTTGCAGTGAGAGCTTCTTAGAAGCATGTTCTATATCACAAAGAAAACATTAATCATTCAGGTATAAAGTTATTTTTATAGACCTTCTCGCTTACTAAAGATCCATTAAGGATTCTAAAGTGATACCTCACACAATATGTCTTGGCCAGAATGGAGTATTGTCAGCTGAAAACTAAATGTCACTAAATTCCCTCTCCCAGACTGTTACAGCTCCTGATAGGCAGGTATAAACAAAACACTCTAAGACTTTTTTGGCCATGTCTCCGGAGATTATATGTGTTCCCTTATTAGGATATTGAAGGGCCTGAGGCCCACTGCACTCACTAATTGAACCTGCGGAGCAAAAACAGCTTAATAAACTGACATTTTGGCCATTCTTTCAGCTGTGTTTATTTGCAAAATTTGAGTTAAGCTAGTAAAAATTTATCTGCAAGCTGTTCTGTTTATGGGTACTTTAATGAGGGTGTGAGTCTATACAGAGACCTCATTGGAGAGCAGTATCCTGTGTATGTGCTCCAGCTAATGAAAACCCAGAGGGCAAGGTAGGGCCAGGTGGGGTAGTAGATAGAGTCTAGCTAGAAGTGGGAAGCCATGCTCTAAGCTGCTGTCTAATCATCGTGGTCACCTGGCCTACTGCCTACCCAGGTGTGCAAATGAGCACAAATTCTGGGCCTTGAAATAGCAGTCATGTAGGTGGGTAAGAATCATATTAAGGAAATGGAAAGTAGACTTCAGAGGACTGTGTTTGAAGTGTGATGGCTTAGAAACTGACAAGCCTGTGAAAAGCTGGTAGGTTAAAAAAAAAAAGACAGCTCTAATCTAGGAAAATGGCCTAGTACGTTTTTGGTTTTGACGTGTCCCTCCTCTGACCTGTTAGAGTTCTGTGTTTGATTTGTCATTATGTTTAGCAGCTTACTGCCTTATGTCCTAGATCTCTGTGTTTATGACTTCCTCCCTTAATTGATTGTAAGCCCTCTGAGGGTAGGGAACTTGTGTAACTTCATATGTTGGAAAGAACTTGGCACAGTGCTAGACATATCGCAAATATTTAGTAAATATTTGAATAGTGTTGACAGGCCCAGATTCATCTGAACTCCCATTTGTCTATCTCTAAATTGAGGTAAATATTTTAATTTAAAATCTATTTAGATTTTAAACTTATTTAAAATTTTACTTATTCAAATGTTTTACTGGTTAGGACGGAAAAGGGAAATATGTTAAAGATGAGGATGCTACAAATACTAGTTCTCTTTTTCATCTTACAGTTACTTTTTATTTTTAATTTAGAAAGCCATCAGGGATGCAGTAACCCTCATCATCTACTACCTCGGGGCTCTCTTTTGGCTTTAAGAAAGAAGGCTCTATTTGCAAGTGACTAGCTGCTCTATAATTTATCTCCTAGATCCTGACAGCATTATTGAGAAAGCCTCCCATTCGGGTATGATTAATCCCAGCCGACAGTGGCAGACTCTTAAGCAGAACACAGGCATTGCCCATTTTGAGTATCAGATTCGAGTCACTTGTGACGAACATTACTATGGCTTTGGCTGCAATAAGTTTTGTCGTCCTCGGGATGACTTCTTTGGACACTACGCTTGTGACCAGAATGGTAACAAAACCTGCATGGAAGGCTGGATGGGCCCCGAATGTAATAAAGGTATGTAGTTTTGGTGGGTTGTCCAATTTGAAATGATCTTGGCTTCTTTCCCCATAGAGTTACTAGTATGAAGGCTTCCATGTGGAATGAATTTGGGGCTCTGTTTCCAGGCCTCCTTATATCACTGTCCATTTGGCATCTTTGTGGCCATGTTAGTCAAACTGTCATGGCACATCCTTGAACAGATCAAGCCGTCCATCCAGGAATCATCCTCCCTTGGTTTTGAGGTGGCTTTTAAGGCAGTCAGATAATTATTGAACAGTCTTAGGTTGAGACCTGGAAGTCACCTTAGAAATAATGCCCACCTTGTAATTTCACAGATGAAGACACTAAAGTGTGTGGCCCAGGAAGTTTAAATGATTTGACAAGTAGTATGTGACAAAGCTGGGTTTTGAATCCAAGCCTCTGATTTTAGAGTCAGCATGGTTTTCTGCATCACAGAATACTAGAAAGAGGGCCTAAAAGATAATCTAGTCCACCTCCCTAATGTTATAGATGAGGAAACTGAGGCTTGGAGAAATAAAATCACTTGGGCAGAATCACACAGCTAGTTACTTTCATCAGAACTACTAGGACTAGAACACAGGTTTCCTGACTCTGTTCAGTGGTTTATTTGGTTTTTTTCCCCTCTATATCATAATTCCAAGCTAGGTAGATTTTTTAAATTAAAAATAATTTTTTTTTCCAGTCCACTAACAACAGTAGACAAAAAGATGTCATTCTTTGTTGCTTTCAGTTTGGTATGATTTTTTTTTTTTTTTTGAGAATGCTAGGTTTGTGGAGGTGAATGCATGTGTGTTAATCTTCACATCAATATTTGCTTAATTCTGAAATCATTAACAGTATTACAATTTTATGGATATGTTCCCTAATTCATAGCAGGTTTGAATGGGTAACTGATTTACTCATCCATATAAATACTCCCACATAAACCTTAATAGAGCCTGGCTGTTAAAGCGTAATACTCCCATATATGGAGGATTTGGATTACTCCTTTCACTGAAACAAATGGGGCTTTAGTAGATAATTTCAAGACTTGCTCTTTATCCAGCCTTCTAATGTTGAGCTCAGTCTTGGAAGATGGATATGATCCCGCCATTGGACCTATGCTTGCTAGCACTTTGCAAAGCACTTTAGACATGTTATTTCATTTGATACTCTCCACATTGTGAGAGTTCTCATTTCCCTTTTATAGATGAGGCAACTGAGTCTGAGTGACTTTTCTAGTGAGTGTCTGAGGCAAGATTTGAACTCGGGTCTGCCTGACAAGTCCAGGACTCTAGCCACTGATCCACCTTCGTTTCCAGTTTGGAAGGACCTGCTAGCATGGCCTAAGAAAACCAGGATTATGTCAGCACCCTGAGGAAGCTTTGGGTCAACTTTAGTGGAAATCTAAACACTAATTAGGAGAAATTGTGTTTCAAGGAGAATTGATATGTTTCAAGAGGTGCTCAGGGAAGAAATAGTTTATTCTTTGATCCAGCCACGGTAAAAAGAGCTAGGCTTTTCGAATAATAGTGCACTTGGTGCTTTTCAAAGACTCTGAGTAGAAGACACAGCTGCTTTGTGTGGCTGGGTGTTTTGACAGGAGCAGGTCAGGAGAGAGAAGAAACTTAGTACCCTTGGTTAGAGTGAAAAGATCACTGAGCTATTAGATGGCAGACCTAGTTTCTGGACCCTGTTCTTACCTAATCAGCTTTGTAACCTTGAACAAGTGGCTTCATTTTTCTCACTTGTAAATAAAGGAAAAGGACTAGATCTCTTAAAAAAACAAAAGTCTCATCTGACCCCAAACACCCTAAAATGCCAGTTTTCTGGCTGAGCTAAAGATGATATAATGTGTTAAGGGATGATGCTAGTAGAAAGATCATTGGAAAAGATGACCCATTCAAGTAAACTTGTAATATAAATACAAAGAAGGGTCTGATACATGGATTGTTACTGAGATCTGGCCCTTACTGGTTAACAAGAAATTTAAGGGCTCACTTACATACCTCTTTCAAAAAGTAGGATATATAACATGTTACAAACTTTGAAGCTAGACTTTATTTGGACCAATGATCTTTGCTGCAGTATTGGAACTCAGTGGGCTCCACCCTTGAAACTAAGCATTCCTTGGTGACTTTTTTTAATGGAGTAGTAGAAGAAAAGAGGAAGATCTGGAGCCAGGCTTGGGCTGTAATTAATACTGTGTAGTGCTGAGGGCTTTATTTTAGGGAAGGGGAGATTGTGAAAGGGATGATTCGACCCTTGTCCTTTTGTCTTCTGGTGCCATATATTGCTTATATTAGAAAATATGTAAAATACCCATCATATGCCTATCTTCTTTGCCTGCAGATTATCAAAAAGCATGCTTATATGTTTGGGGATAGACGGTAACATGTGCTTGCAGTTTTAAAGCTAAAGATATTAGCTGAATTGCTGGATTTGCTGTTGTGGGGCACCTCCTACCTTATTCTCTTTCCAGTAGACTTGATATTAGAGACCTTTTAAATCGTGGATTTTGTAGGATTATAGTGCTAGTCAGAGATTTAAAAACATTCCCACGATTGTGTGGATGCTAGAAACTGGCAGCATGCTGACATGTATGTGTGTATACTTTTTTTTTTTTAATTCTTAACTCTATTTCCACAGCCATCTGTCGTCAGGGCTGTAGCCCTAAACATGGTTCCTGCAAGATCCCAGGAGAGTGCAGGTAATATTTATATCTATATCTATAGCTATGCATCAAGCAATTTTGTTTTAAGCTTCGTTTAGCATGATATCTCTCCACATTGTTCTGTGGAAGACTGGGAAAACTTATTCAAAAATGGGTATCTTAAGTGCTTATTAAATCATACCAGCTGTGTGATGAAACACAAACACTCCTTTGCTTTCTTGCAAAACTGGAAAAACTGTATGAGAGGGCAAATTCAGTCACTTCATGCGTTGACTGTTGACCAATTCCACCTCTAAATTGGGAGCAGATTTTTGTAATCTTTTAAGACTGCACTGCCATTCTGACTCTTTCTTTAGCTTGTCTTACACCAGAGTGTTTATTTTCTTCCTCACCCTCCTTAGTCTCGTCTCCTTTTTCTCCTAGATTGCCCTTCCCTTCCCCCACTTTTCCCATCAATAGGCAAAAGTCAAGCATTCTTTAGAATGGGATTAGTAAAATCTCTAGGTTCCTTTGCAGTGGAGATGCAGGCTCCAAGTGCTGAGAGGTTAATAACAGGGATGGAATCTTGTCAGGAGAGACTGATGAATGCAGAATTTTGTTTCTCTGCTTTGAAGTCTGTTCCATTCTGGCCCAGTAATAATGCAACCCAAAAGCCGGGACGTACCCAAACAATTTAACAATTAAATTTTGGAGCTCTTTGAATTATGCTCTATATTGTTACTTGACATTTGGGAAGGCACTTTAAAAAAAATTCTTACTGGTGTTCTTTGTTAAAATTTAGACAAAAGTCCACAATAACTGAGAATTTAATATTGTTAGTGTTTTCGGGTTGAGTTTTGGTTTTTGATTTGATTTTGCCTTTTTTTTTTTTTTTGAGAGGGGAGCCAATCAACAGGGGGGTCCTGACAGAAATGACAACTAACCAAATTGTATCTGACCAAAAGTTAAGGAAGTTTTGCAGAACTAGTTTATATGAGTGCTAGGCTTTATTTAGAGCCCAATAATTTAATAGGTTGCCAGGCCTAGTGGGCTTCTTCTCATGGAAGATACTCTGGTTTTAATCAAGGGAGGTTTGTTAACCTTCCTCCAAAGGAGGGAACCAGAGTGACCTGAGGATTCTCTTCTATTTTAGAACAGGTGTAGAAATCTGCCTGTTGTAAGGGAGTAGTGATGATTCAGGAACATTCTGGAAGCATCCAGTTTCCAGAGTTATGGTATATCACTCCCTTAGTTTCATTCATTCTGTCCTTTGTAGTCCCACGTTTGTATTTTACAAGGCTTCTGTTTACAAGAAAAAAATTGGGAAGTGACAGTGGCATGTCAATATTATGGAATTTAAAGTGGTTGAGAGCCAGTAGAGGGAAATATTTTGCCCCCCTCTCTTTCCCCTCCCCTTTTTTTTTTTAATTAGAGAGATTTTCATCTGGTAACAGTCCTTTATCCTATATTCAAGTAAGATTTTATTTTTTTGGAAGACTAAAGGAGTAATTGCCCTAGTCATTCTAATATTTAACTGTCCTGGTGTTGGATGATTCTAATGTTTAACCTCATTGCTGTCAACTGTTTAGCTGAAATACACCTACATAAACTTTTTCTAATTAATAGCCTTCTAGAGTAAATCAGACTTGAAGTATCATTAGCGCATCTGAACTGGGCCAGATGCTTAGATGTCTATCAGCTGAGTCTAACAAAGATTTGTGCTACTGTCATCAGAATAAACATGCCTTATAGGGGGTGCTGTCTCCCAGCCAGAACAGCAGGCTTTGTTTCCAGGTTTTAGGCCTTTCTCTTTCTAAGGCTCACCTCCCACTCACTGCCCAGACATGCACTGGTGCCCTTATTTACTTAAGGTGCAACTTTCCCACACTTCATTTGCATAGTTAAAAAAAAATTCTGTCTTCCTGACTTTAAAAGAAGGAAGGAAAATTTCTTACAAAATCTTTCTTCTGTGTCTGCTTCAGAAATATTTTTAATGTCCACCTTCCTTAAGTTTCATTGGGGTTATATATGCTGAACTTCTCTTTCACATGTGAGGGTTTATTGGTTGTGTGTTTACAGTTGTTCCCAAACAGACTTAAAATAACTTCTTTTCCTTGGTGCAAGTGATTACTTTCTTTATTGCGAGTCTGCCAATAATATCAAACTTAATTATGAATCATCATCATAAGCAAAGGAACTTTATTTTCTCATGAGAAACTTAATCATATGTATTATTAAACTGGCATAACTTTGTAGATTCCTGTTTTAGGTTCAGTATTTTTATTTGTTTTCTTTTGAAGTCATCCATAACCTCTCCTGGCCACCTTTGTTGTACTTAAGGGTAGAGCCCTCATTAATTAAAAAATGAAGTCAGGTCCTCAGCTGCCCTTTTTATTGTATTTATTAGCCAAAGTGAGGGTGTATAGAGATTTTAGTTCTTTAATTTATAAGAAAGTGAGGACTACAAAATGCTGATGTTTCATAATCAGTTTGCTTCTCTGATTGGTCATTGAGGGAGTCATTGTCTTTCTCCCACCAGTTTTCATCCCTAGTTTGGTCCCCAAGTGGTCTTTGACTTAATTTTTATTTTCCTGACTTTTTAACTTTGTATTTTCATTTCTTGTTGAGACTGGCAAAGTACTTTGATTTCCATTACTTTTGAATTCTTGATTTTTGTGGTGGTATTTTTTGGGGGGGAGAGTGTGGCATGGGTTGGGTTTTTTGTTTTGGATTTAATTAGTAGGAAGTGGTTAGTCAGTCAAGATTCTCAGAGGGTTAAATTCATCACTAGCTGTGGGTGATTAGCTATTAGCTAGATCCCTATAGTTTTCCCATGACAAGGATTTACTGGTCTGAACACAGCTTTCTGAAAACTGAAAGCCTAAATGACTTCTATACAAGGGTTTATTTTCATAACTTAGTGACAGCTTAAAGGGTAATTGCTGCTGATCACTTATTCCCATGTCTCATGAACAAAATATTTTAGTAGAGCCTATTTCTCCTTTGACATGGGCTCTTGCTTTCCCATCTTACTGTTATCACATTTTTTTCTTCTTTTTTTTTTTCCCTCTCAAAAAATCCTTGGTTTCCTTGATTTTTTGAGAAGACTGGTTAAGGTTTCAAATGCTCTGAAACTTGACGGGGAGAAGAGTTCAAGACCCTTCCCCTCCCCTCCTATCCCAAGTGTGGGTTTGTGTTTTGTGTTTTTGTTTGGGGATCAAAGAAACCATTTGGCTTAGATAGATTCAAATTAACAATGCACTTATAGGAAACTGAACTCCATTCCTCAACATTAGATAAACCTAGCTGACCTCTTTTGGCAAAGAGAGAAGTAAGTATTCCTAGGTACCAGCAATTAACATAAACGTGAACTGTCATGGGTCAGACACCATCCCTTCAGTTTACTCCACCAAGAACTGGTTTTTGATATATTTTTTTTTTCCTCATTCCTTGCCCCCCTTCCCCAAAAGGCACTACAACATTCATTACAAAAGGAGGGAAGGGGAAGGGGGAAAGGGAGACATAGAATTAGGATAACCAAGTAGACTCCGTCCTTTCTTGGATTTGTGTGTGTCAGGTCATGACTTACTATTGACACACAAATCATGGAGACAAAATGCTGCAAATCTTGCATTCATGAAAATTTTTCACATGACCATTGTTTTCAGAAACTGCCCCCACCCCCTTTATAGTCCATTCTGACACAGTTCAGAGATTGATTTATCCTGCACACCCACCCTCTCTGTCTCGTTTGTGTGTGCCTGAGAATAGAGTTGTATTGTGTTCCATGGCACCACACTGGGCTCTCCCAGAACAGTTATCCTTTTGTAAGTAGTCTGGCTTTAGGAGACCTTGGCCAAACGGTTAAAAATGTTTGTTTATAAGGAACCACCAAACAAACCTTGAAAGTTACCTTTCCCCAATTCCCCTTATGTCCCTTTCTCTCTCTGCTTTGTTTGATACTTGAAGCCTTGGGCCTTCTTCCGTCATTTTTGCTTTAATTCTAGGACTTTAGGAAAAAATTGTACTTTGTTTTGTCTTAAGGTGTCAGTATGGATGGCAAGGCCAGTACTGTGATAAGTGCATTCCGCACCCAGGATGTGTCCATGGCACTTGCATTGAACCGTGGCAATGCCTCTGTGAAACCAACTGGGGTGGTCAGCTCTGTGACAAAGGTATGCTAATCTTCTAGATAGCCAAGTGTAAATTTTGAATTTTAATGCATGGTATGTGTGTGGGGTTGATTGCAGAGGGAGTCCCAGGTATTGTGGCAAGAGGCATTTATTGGAGGTAGTTAGGCATGGGTTATAAATACATTGAATTTGTGTTAACTTGGGTTTTAACTAAGCCATGCCTTGAGGGACTTTTTTTTTTCCAAAGGTAAGTGAAGGTAGAAATAAAGATGATAAGCTGCATAAAGTTTTTTTTTTTCTGGTACTTGTTTTGTAGATCTTAATTATTGTGGGACTCATCAGCCCTGTCTGAATGGTGGTACTTGTAGTAACACAGGTCCTGACAAATATCAGTGTTCCTGCCCAGAGGGGTATTCTGGAGCAAACTGTGAAATTGGTAAGTGTTCTGAACATCTCTCTTTTTTTTTTTTAAATCATCATTGATTTTTTTTTTTGCTCTTAATGACAAAGTGTTTTTTTAAGTATATTTTTTCTTAATGTAAAAATTTACAGCTAAGTACCAAAGGCATCTGCCAAAAATCTAAGTTCTCTACAAAATCTAAAAACTAGAACAATTGAAACCCTTCTAGAATCTGCAAAGTTGTTTCCTTGTTGCTGATAAGTGTGAGAGGTTGTATAGGTTTTATGAGATCCTAACTCGGAGATGTCTTGGAATGTTGATTCTGTCAGCTTAGCATGAAAGATGACTTCCTATCCCCTTGATACAGTATGAATGTATCATAAGCTGCTAAGAGAAAGAAGATGAAATATTTAGGCAGGTAGCCAAGGAGTTGATGGGGTGTGTGTGTGTGTGTGTGTGTGTGTGTGTGTGTGTGTGTGTGTGTGTGTGTGTGTGTGTGTTTTGGAAGGGAGGGAAGGAGGTTGAAGGAAGTTAAAGTGTGTTGGTAGTTGACTAGAAAGCAGAAAAGGTACTTTCTTTTTTTGTTTCGTTTTGTTTTGGTTTTTTGAGGTATTTCTTGGGACCATTACTAGGTACTGCCATACTGACCTATTCTCTTTCATTATGTTTGTTTAGCGGAACATGCTTGTCTTTCTGATCCCTGTCACAATGGAGGAAGCTGTCTGGAAACATCTATGGGATTTGAATGTGGTTGTCTTCCAGGCTGGACTGGGCCAACATGTACCACAAGTAAGTGTATGTTTGGGATCCCATCTTTACAGAATGATTAGCATTCCTTGAAATAGGGGAGGAAACAGGGGAGAACGTTACACTTGTTATTGCCTTATTCACCAGGCTGCCTTTGCACTCATGGCAATCTTTTCTGTTATCCTCATTTGTGTTTATGGTGGTATTTGGCTAATAATTCCTATTAATATGTTTGGTAACTCCCTGGACTAGAAGTGGTAACACTGATTATTTACCTCATTAAAATTATTTCTTAGTGGAACCCTTTATCCAAGGATACCATGTCTTACCAATATCTTCTTGCTTTTCTTCTCAACACTGTGAGGGGCCCTGTCCAGACAGAATCCTGCTCATTTTTCATTCTAGCCTTGGAATGTTGCAGTGAGGTGACTGAAATGGTAGTCAGTGCAGATTCATTAGTGGTGCTCCATTTAATTGGGGGTGGGGGCATTGGCAAACTGTTACATGCAGCCCATTCATGGCAGGGTCACCTAAGTGACAAGAAGGTAGAATTTAGGATTTGGGCTAATTGGCAGAATAAATGTAATGTTGGAAAGGCCATTTTTCTTCTCTGCCTTGGTTTTCTCATCTGTGAAACAGTCAGTTCTTTTCAGCTGTCTCTCAAGGATGTGATGAAAATTTTAAGGGAATGTAGAGTGAATTTTTTTTAAAGGAATTTTAAAAAACCTAAAATAGGTACCATAATTGTGTTTCTAGGGTCCCCTGCTTTATTGGGTTCAGATGATTTGGAATGGTAGGCTACTTAGATCAAAATAAAAACCAAATGCAGAGTAGTTGATCCCTTTATATTTCTGACATATCATTTATTTTTTTACCAAATGACCACTTAGTAGGATTTACTATAATTGACCTTCGAGTTCAGGTAGTATGATATTCTCATTTTATATCTGAGGAAAGTGAGGCCTAGAAAAGAGAATTTATTTGCCCAAGATCATACAGCTAATAAGAGCAAAGCTGGGATTTGAACCCAAGTCTGATGACTCCAGCCTTTGCCACTATATCATATTGCCTATGTGCATGAGCTTATGTTTATGTTGCCTCTTTTTTAGCTATTGAAGTACACTAAGTTCTTTTTGTTTTTGCTCTTTTCCACCCCTCCCTTTTTGGGGGACAGATATTGATGACTGTTCTCCAAATCACTGTGGTCATGGAGGAACATGCCAGGATCTAGTGAATGGATTTAAGTGTATTTGTCCTCCACAGTGGACTGGCAAAACATGTCAAATAGGTAAGAAAAAGAAGAGTTTGTGTAATTTTAATATTTTAAAAATACTTGTTTAGTGATATCAGGACTATCAAGGATAACAAAGTTTTAATAAAATGAGTGGAAAACAAAAGTACTCAACTTGCAAAATAATATAATTTGTTGTCAATTCCATAGAATGCCTTTTGTGGTTTTGTAAATTGAAAATGGACCAGCTAGCTTTCTTACGCTCTGTGGGAAAATGATGAGAGTCTCTTGAAGCAATGTTAGCTCCCCCAGACCAAGGAGTTTACAGCTGGGCTCCAAAATGTGGATGATCTCATGAAGAATGAGCTTGTCTGCATTCTTCTTGCCCTATTTAAATCCCAACAATTACACTATAGTGCTTTCCAATTGGCTGATGGCCTCTTTTATTATTTAGTTCCTTGGGGGAGTTATTAATTAGACTGGATGGTTATCAATTATTTTATCTAGCACCTTGTAATTAAAGAAGTAAGGGTGGTGATAGGCTGTAAAATGCAGGCACTTTGGAGCCTGAAGTTCAATGTGAAATAAAGCAATAGGTTTAATAATCCACTTTGCCAGAATTTGGGTATGTTAAAGGAATTATCATATTTTGGGTGAAACTAGAAAGCCTGTTTTTTTGTTTTTGTTTTTTTGCACTTTGAGGTTTTGTTTTATCTTAGAAGAAGCAAGGGATGAAAGAAGACAAACCCGTACTGATGGTTTCCATTCCCTTTTAGATGCGAATGAATGTGAGGCAAAACCTTGCATAAATGCCAATTCCTGTAGGAATCTGATTGGGAGCTACTATTGTGATTGCATTCCTGGCTGGACTGGTCAGAACTGTGATATAAGTAAGAGACTTCCACTTTTCTTGATCTTTTTTATTTGGTTTTAAGGATGGGGTTGCTAAAAGCAACTGAACTATCAGTATAAGCCTGGCTTGGTAATGGGAAAGCCCAAGTGTGATGTTTTCAGAAAGGGAGTAGTCAGTCTGGAATGAAAATACACAATTTTATCAAGCTCATTAGTTGGTAACGGGGTCATATTCTGATAAGATGGCTTAAAACAATGATGTGAAGTTTCATTAACTCTGCTGGAGGAATTGGTTAAGGGTTCCCACCCATTATAATAGCCTTATCTAAAGGAAAGCATACAGGAAATCTGACAACCACTTTATCTGTCCTTAGCGGTAGAAACCTTTTAAACTGCACCTCATTTAAATGTAAAATGCCTCTTAATAATCTGCTGATTTATTTTTGTTTTTTAGATATTAATGACTGCCTTGGCCAATGTCAAAATGATGCTTCCTGTAGGGTATGTAAATTTCACCTCTTAAATCAAAACTCTGGTAATTAATAACTATTTTCTGCTGTGAATATCAGTCATTAAGCATTTGTTCTTATACTGAAAAGAGCAAAACCTGGGAATGTTTGGTCTGTACAAAATTCTAAAGTTCATATGAAAAGTATATCTTTATAAATGAACCAGGCTTGTGTTACCCTGGCCTTATTGGCAGTCATTTTGAAAGAATGCAAATACAAACTCCTCCTTCTGCAAATGTTGATAAGCTTGGTATTTAACGAAAAATTTCAGGGACTTTGCTGAGTTAGAGCAATGGTGAATCTATGCATTGGCCTGGCATAATGAAAATGTGTTAGGCTTGATTTGTTTTATTCTTTCTGTCTCTCCCAGGATTTGGTTAATGGTTATCGCTGTATCTGTCCACCTGGCTATGCAGGAGATCACTGTGAGAAAGACATCAATGAATGTGCAAGCAACCCTTGCTTGAATGGGGGTCACTGTCAGAATGAAATCAATAGATTCCAATGTCTGTGTCCCACTGGTTTCTCGGGAAACCTCTGTCAGGTGAGCATTGGTGAAATGCAAACCCAGATAACTTGGGTTCTTACCAGCAAAGGCTTTTCTTCCTTCTTCTTTTCACCCTTGGGACTTTTTACACCAAATACCTCAGTCTCACTGAACCATATAAAGCCCTACTTGAGGTTGTCTGTCCCACAAGTGCCCGTAGGAAAACTCAGTGGCTGTTGGAAGAGTCTTTTAATTTAAAGACTTGACAGTGTCTGTGTATCTAGGCAGTTGAGTTTTCACTGTGGCCCTCTGGGGCCTTTTTCATATCCTTCAAAAAACTCACTGCACATATAATTGGATATATCATGCACTATGTACAATTAATAGATTAAAAAGGTCAGATTCCACCGTGTCAGCTGCCTAGAGCAGAGCAAGGAGTAATAATGAAATCCTTTATTTTACTGACGCTTAAAAAAAATACTCTCCTTTTCTTCTCTTCATTCCCTCCCCCCACCCAGTTGGACATCGATTATTGTGAGCCCAACCCATGCCAGAATGGAGCCCAGTGCTATAATCGTGCCAGTGACTATTTCTGCAAGTGCCCTGAGGATTATGAAGGAAAGAACTGCTCACACCTGAAAGATCACTGTCGAACAACACCATGTGAAGGTACCCACCCTAAAGCTTGGCTCTTCCCTTCCCTTGGCCCTTTGTCCTCTGGAGTCCCTTAGAGATACCAGGAAGTATAGTGTTTGTGTCTAGGGATACCCTTTAGGGTGCATTTTTCATCCTAAAATGGTTTGGAGAAATCAGTTTATAAGAGAACATGTTCTTGTTGGCTGATGGTTTTCCTTTTTAAATTTTTTTTTATTTTTTGGACCAGACTTGTGATTGCATTTGTAGAGAACACACTTCCTGACAAGAAGCTATAACTTCTTAAAGTTTTGTGGGGACACCGAGAGGTCAGGCGACTTGCTCCCAGACACCCTGCTAGAATGGGTCAGAGGCAGGACTTGGTGTCTCCAAGGCTGGCCCCTTACACTATGCAAGTAGTTACCCTTCCCAACAGAAAGAATGTGCAATGCATTGTGGTACCTAAGCTGCTTGCATGTCTAATGAAAGTATAGTAGAAGCAGTGTGCTGTGTTATAAAGAATGCTGGAAGGGCCAGGATTTCTGGGTTTGAATCCTGTCTCTGACCCTTGCTGTAAAACCATGGGAAAGTTGTTTAATGTCTTGAAGTCTGTTTCCTTACCTGTAAAGTGATAATAATAATACTTGTAGAAAACACCCAATAGGGATGTTGTGAAGATCAAATGACATTTATATATACATATGTATGTGTGTTTATGCATATATATATATAATTTATGTATATCCCCTCCTTCCCCTACATAGTTATCTACAAAGCATATTTTGTTAATTTATAGATCCATAGACATTTTCTAGTTCAACTTCCTCATTTAAAATAACTTGCCCAAGGCCACAAAAGACTCCCAAGTCCTTAAAATAAGCCTTAAAAGCCAAAAGAAACTCTAGTATTTTTGTCAGCCACAGAAGTTTTTCCCTTCCCACCCTCCCAAAATATAATTGATATAACTGATAATTATGTTAATTTAGAAGGGAAAAGGTGATAAAGAATCATTTTATTACAGAGAGTAAAACTTGTCTTTCTAGAGAGGGAGGCACTACATAAGAATATTGGATATTTTAGTTATGCTCTCTTTTAATACCTTTGAATGATATAACAAGTGTTAATGTAGCACTTTCAGTTTTGCAAAGTACTTTATATACATAATCTTCTTTGATCCTTATAACCCCACCCCATCAGGTGTTATCCTCATTTTACAGATGAAGAAACTGAGGTAGAGGGGAGTTCAGTGATTTGCTTAGGGACACATGGCTAGTAATATCTGAGGCAGCATTTGAATTGTAGTCTTCCTGATTCCCAAGTCCAGCACTCTCTCCACTGTAGCCCCTACATGCCTCATCATCCTCAGAGGTAAAGTTGCCAGTAGGAAGTAAATGATAAGTAACTTTGTATGTCCTTAGCCAATTTCACCCAAATTTGATAGAGGTACAAACTAAGTATTCAGCAAGGTCAAATCCCACAAACACAAGAGTTTTAGAATTAGGTGGTCCATTGGATAGAGAGTTAGGCTTAGAGTCACGAAGACCAGAGTTCGAATCGATTCAGACATGTACTAGAGTCCTAGTCTCTGGACTTGTTGACATTATCCTCCCATTAGCTGATAGGTACAAAATCTATTAGGAAGAACAGTTTTGGTTCGTGTGCTTAGTTGCTCTGTGTTTTGTAAGTGAGAATGCCCTGATCCTGAGGCTGTGTATCTTTCAGTGATTGACAGCTGTACTGTTGCAATGGCTTCCAATGACACGCCAGAAGGAGTGCGATACATTTCTTCAAACGTTTGCGGGCCCCATGGAAAGTGCAGGAGCCAAGCAGGAGGCAAATTCACCTGTGAATGCAACAAAGGCTTCACTGGGACATACTGCCATGAAAGTAAGACCCCGAAAGGTTGCAAGTGGTCTGTGTGGGCCTTTGTGTTCAGAACTGCAGGGTTCCCTGAGAAGTTTCATTGTGAGTTTTCTTAGGGAGCTAGACTGGCCTGTTAACTCCATGGAGGACAATAAGTAGTGGGTGCTTAGTCACCAAGAGGTGGGCAGTCTGCTCTGGGGTTTAACTTATTATTACATTGGTTTTTCAGTCTCCATGAATACATTTTAAAATGTTTTTGAATCCTACTTGTTTCCTGAATGGTCTTGTCTCTTTGAGATGAGAAAACTTTGATTTTTATTTTCTATGTAGCTTATCTTGTCTTAAAATTAATTTCATCCCACTATAGCATTTTTAGAAAACTCTTACACTCTTTTTTCTTAAAAGGCAATATAATGTAGCTATCTAGTTTTCTTTTAAAAAAAATTCTTTTCCTTCTGTTTCCATAAAGAATTGGTCTTGGCAGGTGCTTTGTGTTTTGAGCCATTTGGGTAAGAATCCCAAAGGTTGGTGTGTTGGGATAGTTTCTAAGGGAGGCAGCCCCAGGCTTCTGTTACAGTAAGGGGAGAGCTTCTCTGAAGTCTTGCTTCCTTTGTCCTTTCTGCAGATATTAATGATTGCGAAAGCAACCCCTGTAAAAACGGTGGGACTTGTATCGATGGTGTCAACTCATACAAATGTATCTGTGGTGACGGCTGGGAGGGGACATACTGTGAAACCAGTAAGTAAGCTGTCCTCCTTGTGCTGCCGCTCTGGGGAGAGGACATGAGGGAAAGGGAAGTCAGTCTGCAGTGAGGTAGCCTCCACCGTGTTAACAGAGAACTCTAAAACTGTTAGAGCTGTTGTTTCTGTACTGAAACAGCATCTCTGGTCTGTTTACCTTCATTTATGCTGACAACAGCAGGAGGAGAGACTCTCAGCTGCATGTTGTGGGACCACAGACTGTGTAATTAGGATAATAAATTAGCCCCGCTTGCTTCCAAAGAAGCAAGCATTTTTCCATCAGGTTTTTTTTTTCCTTTAGTTTTATTTCCATTGACACTACAGAGAAATGTTTACTGACTGACTTGTTGAATTAGAGGTAAAGATGATAGGGGAATGTTGTACAGAGTAGTATATAGCCAGGTCTAGCTAGAATTTAAGCCTTGGGGAAGTTAATCCACTTCAGAGATTTGGGGTCAATCTGTTGAGTTCTAATAGATAAGACCATATTGGCATTTAAATCTTTACTATTGGGGGCAAACATCTTTCAGCTTGATTTTTTTCCTTTTTAATTATAGATATTAATGACTGCAGTAAAAATCCTTGCCATAATGGAGGTACATGTCGAGACTTGGTCAATGATTTTTACTGTGAATGCAAAAATGGGTGGAAAGGAAAGACCTGCCACTCCCGTAAGTTGAAGCTTACCCCCAAACAAGTTGAACCTCCTGTAGTGAATTATTTGAACTTGCTAAATCCTATGAAGAAGGCCCATGGGGTAGATCTCATTCTGAACTGCTTCTTTCTAGGTGACAGCCAGTGTGATGAAGCAACCTGTAATAATGGCGGGACATGCTATGATGAAGTAGATTCTTTCAAGTGCATGTGTCCTGCAGGCTGGGAAGGAGCCACATGTAACATAGGTAACTTTGTACCAATGGGCAAGTGGTCTTGCAAGGAGGGCGGGTGTGTGTGTGTGTGTGTGTGTGTGTGTGTGTGTGTGTGTGTGTATCTTCGCATCTTCTCCCTTGTTTGGACCCATTTTAAAGCACAGTGATATTTTTTCTTTTTTTCTTATAGCTAGAAACAGTAGCTGTTTGCCCAACCCTTGTCACAACGGTGGTACCTGTGTGGTCAATGGAGACTCCTTTACTTGTGTTTGCAAAGAAGGTTGGGAAGGACCCATTTGTACTCAAAGTGAGTCTTTTCCCTTGAACTCTCCTAAGTGTTGCCTGATGAGAATGTTGGCTCATCCTGTCGCCCTCTGAGACTCTAAATTGAAACCAGAAGGGAGAGCTATTTGAAGTCTGCTTTAGTATCACCTGATTCTCTTTGTTTTAATGACTTTCTGTGATATAGTGTTGACCTGGGCATGAGAAAGTTACAAATGAGATAAGTGGACACAGATGTAGTCCTTCTTTTCCGTCATTCTTTGTGTGCCAGTGGCTGTCTGCTTCCATTCACTTCTTCCCAGTCCTTTCTTGACAAGATTCTTTTCCTGTGTCCAAGTGTCCCACGGTAAACTCAACAGAATGTTGGAGCGGAGACCTGGATTTAATTTAGTAGAAGATTGAAGCATATTTTGTTAATGTTAACTAAGTACAGCATGTCACTTGGGCATAACAGAAATAAATCTCTTCTTTCCCAGTGATAGATGAGTTTTCTTATCATTGACCTCTATATTAAAGAGTGACTTTTTTTTCCCCAGATACTAATGACTGCAGTCCTCATCCTTGGTAAGCATACAAAATGTTATACTTTTATTTTCCCCCAAAAAACTGTTTTATGTATTGTATGTATACTGTGTCTGGGCAATCTTGTCACAACCAGATACAGTTATTGGTTTATGTGATTTGAAATTGAGAGGCATCTTTGCTTTCTTCTTAGTTATAACAGTGGAACTTGTGTGGATGGAGACAATTGGTACCGATGTGAATGTGCTCCAGGATTTGCTGGACCAGACTGCAGAATAAGTAAGTAGCAATTCCTGGTGACTTTGCTAAGAGAGTGTGTGTGTGTCTGTCCGTCCATATCCTTCATTCTTTCTTCCCCTCTCCTCCCTCAGTGAGAATTTTCCTCTGCATATTTCAAGAAAACTCAAGGCCAAGATTCCCTTCAAATTAACATTGCCATACAAAATCATGTATATAATGACCTTCTGCCTCCAGCTGGGATTAACATGCCCTTCAACCTGATCCTCTTCCCAGTTAGCATTAGTTTCATGTGCTGCTTGGTGCTCAAGAGGAAGAAATGCCAGCTAAACTATTTTGGTCAATTAATCTACATTGAGACCCTGAGGTAGTTTGTATACTCCCCTCTAATAATTTTAACTTATAGCTGAAAGGACACTGACTTTAATAATGACTGTAAAAATGGAATTTTGGCTCCTAGCATTAAGAACTTTGGCATTAAAGATGAATTGTATTTGTTTTAACTCGGATAAGATGTATAGCCAGAGAGCATTAGCAACCTTTTTTTTTTTAAATAAGCCAACATGGTGGTGTTGTAATAGGTGAGATTAAATATATGTCCCCTACCTCAAATTCTCTTAGATATCAATGAATGCCAGTCTTCACCTTGTGCTTTTGGAGCTACATGTGTAGATGAAATCAATGGCTATCGGTGCATCTGCCCACCTGGTCACAGTGGCCCCAAATGCCAAGAAGGTATGCTTGTTCATCATACTCCGGTTTACCTCTATGGAGACAGCACAAAGGTTGTATGTAGAAAGGAGGGTATCACCAATCAATAAGCATTTATTAAGCACCTACTATGTGCTAAGCTTTATAGAGGCAAAGATAAAAATAAAAACAGTACCTGCCCTGAAGGAGCTTGCACCCTATAGGGAATGACATCATGTGCACATCTAAGTAAATAGAAAATAAAGGAAGAGTACTTGGGGGACAGGGGCAGGCATTAGCAACAAAGGTGTTAGAGTGAGAAGGAGTGCCTTCTTCTGTGCTGTGCAAAGTGATGGAGGTGGGAGAATGAATATTGAGTGGGAGGATAGCTAAAAGATCAGTAGAGCATGTTACAGAGAATAACATATACTATGGCTGGAAAGGTTGGTTGGACTCATATTCTTTAAATACCAAATAGAGGAGATTTGTATTTGATCCTGGAATAATAGGGGGCCACTGGAATACTATTGCAACCATTTACCAATTAGTTTGCATTCAGCTGTGAGTGAGAGGGCTGTGTAGGGAGATTGAAGGAGGGACAATTGGGTTGCTAAAAATACACTGTGGCTCTGACTGCTTACAATTACAGAACTGTAATTTACTCTAACACTTTTTTCCACCTTTTTAGTTACAGGAAGACCTTGTATTACCACTGGGAGAGTGATGCCAGATGGTGCTAAATGGGATGATGATTGTAATGCCTGTCAGTGTTTAAATGGAAAGGTTGCCTGCTCAAAGGTATGAGGAGGAACTGTGATTTGCATTTTCTGTGTCATCCGTGGGGAGGGCTGTGTTTTGTAAGCAATTTTTTGTTGTTTCTCTAGGTCTGGTGTGGCCCTAGACCTTGTCTGATACATGGCAAAGGTCACAATGAATGCCCTGCTGGGCAAAGCTGCGTCCCCATCCAGGATGACCAGTGCTTTGTACGACCCTGTACTGGAGTGGGTGAATGCCGGTCTTCAAATCCTCAGCCAGTGAAAACAAAATGTACCTCTGACTCCTATTACCAGGACAACTGTGCTAACATCACATTCACCTTTAACAAAGAGATGATGTCACCAGTAAGTATTTAGATTTTTTTTTTTTAGTCTAGGCTGGAAGTGTAATGACCACTGCCCATTGGCCCAGAAACTTTGGGCTGTTCTGTTTCCTAACTGGACTGGTTTTCTCCCCCTTAGGTAGGCTGATAGTATGTTCCCCCCACTCCCAACTCTCAGGGACTTATCATCCTGGCATCAGACTTAGTGCTGATATCTGATCAGCTTAAGCCCTACTGTAACTCAGAACCCCTGAGCTCATGGCAGAGATTACAGACATGCATTTGTTATTAAACTCAACTTATACACGCTTAAGTAGTGGTCTGACATGTAACTTCCATTTTTGTGGCAGAACAAGACTGGAGAATGCAAACTTGGTTTAAAGATAATTTAGTCATCTTTCTGCTCCATGAGTCATAAGACTTTTCCTTTTTGTTTTGAATTATTTTAGGGCCTTACCACTGAACATATTTGCAGTGAACTGAGGAATTTGAATATTTTGAAAAATGTTTCAGCTGAGTATTCTATCTACATAGCCTGTGAGCCATCACCATCTGCAAACAACGAAATCCATGTTGCCATTGTAAGTTCGGTGGGATTGATTATCCCTAATCATTTGATTTAATTTGATCTAATTTGATCTAATTTGAAAACTAATTCCAAATTATTATATAGGCCTCTGTGCTTGATTTTTTTTTTAACACTTCTGCATATAGTATGCTAGCCATGATGATTTCAATATTCCCATAACACCTGGGTCTGACTGTATGTCTTTTTTCCAGTCTGCTGAAGATACCCGGGAGGATGGGAACCCTATCAAAGAAATAACAGACAAGATTATAGATCTCGTGAGTAAGCGTGATGGAAACAGTACTCTCATTGCTGCAGTTGCAGAAGTCAGAGTCCAAAGACGACCCATGAAAAGCAAAACAGGTGGGTGTGAGTGAAATACTAAAATACTGGTTTTTGCCATAATGAGGATCTTGGAGTCACAGAGCAGTAGGACTAGAAATCAGATAGCCTATATTGATTTTTCTGTTGTTGCTTATAAGGACACAAGGGCTCAAGGATGTTAAATGTCTAATCCACAATTGCCAGCTACCTCCTGGCCAAGCCAGATCTAGAGCCCGGGTCTCCTGACTTTATTGTTTCTCCACCATACTGCTGTGGGCTCATTAATAAATATACTTCCATTTTATGGTTTTAAATCATCATTCTCCTTAAGGTAGACAGGCAAATAGGAGGCTCAGAGGATTTTGACAGAATTTTCATGTTATAGATTGAAAGTGACCATAAGCATTTTTATATGGTTGGTCCCCCTGGCGCTTCTCATCAGAGTGGGGGCAATTTTGCCTTTGCTGTTTGGAGGCTCCCTTGCCATTCTCTTAAGAGTCTTTTCTTTTGAATCTAATCTAACCAGAATGTATTAAATACCCGACGTGCATAAGAAATTACAGCTTGGAAGACAAAACAAAAACTTCTCTGACCTCCAGGAGCTTGCTTATCTTTGCTAGACAAGTGATGAGACACACTTCTTTGGAGAAGCCATACCATATGTACTTGGTGCTATAGCCTCGGATTGAATTTCTGTAGACCAGTGGTATCAAACTCAAATTGAAATGGGGGTCACTAAACCCTGTATGAGCATCCCTTTCAGGCTTCATATTGAGTTATAAAACTACCCCTTTGTATATACATATATACATACATACATATATATATACACAACACACACACACACACACACACACACACACACACACACATTAAATTAATACCTCGACACAGAATCAGATAGGAACTACATTTTAATCTGGTACAGGCTGCACTCTGGAGTGCTGTGGGCCGCGTATCTGACCCCTGCTATAGACCTCACACTTCCGCTGGAGAAGGTCTTTTGGTTGGAGTAGAAGGGATTCTTTTATTTTGTGGGTCTGGTTTTAGCCTTTCCTCTGTCTCATGCTGCTAAGGACCTAAGTAACCATGCTTAAAAGGGCTTGGGATCGAGGGATCCAAACTTCGGTTTGTCCCTGCCAGACAGATCTCGGGACTCCCGATAGGACTTACTGAGAGAGCAGCATGAGGAAGCCTGTATGGCTGCTGCCCATCTTGGCCCTCTCCTGGGAACAGAAACCCTACAGTCTCCAAGGCTCTCCATCCAGCACCTGTTTAACAAGCAGGGAATTGGCTTAATTTGCAATTGTGAAAAAGAAAAGGGACCCAACCCTATGGCTTTCGTTTTTAGGTACTGCGTGTATGGGAAAACTAAGAAGTACTTTTTAGCTGTTATTATTTGGAGGCTAATTGGTTTTGTGCCTGTCTCGCAGATTTCCTGGTTCCATTACTGAGCTCTGTCTTAACCGTGGCTTGGATCTGTTGCTTGGTAACAGCCTTTTACTGGTGCTTCCGGAAACGCCGAAAGCCAAGCAGCCACACACACACGGCCTCTGATGACAACACCACCAATAACGTGCGGGAACAGCTGAACCAAATCAAAAACCCCATTGAGAAGCACGGAGCCAACACAGTCCCCATCAAAGATTACGAAAATAAAAACTCCAAAATTGCCAAAATAAGGACACACAACTCTGAAGTAGAAGAGGATGATATGGACAAGCACCAGCAGAAGGCCCGGTTTGCCAAGCAACCAGCTTACACACTAGTAGACAGAGATGAAAAACCACCCAACAGCACACCAACAAAGCACCCAAACTGGACAAACAAACAAGATAACAGAGACTTAGAAAGTGCCCAAAGCCTGAATCGAATGGAATACATTGTATAGCAGACAGTGGGTGCTGCCTTTAAATATCGTGAAGGGCACTCTTGAGTTTGTAGGTCTTTAAACTGTTGTGTAATATTGGAGTCTAAGGCTGTTATTGACTTAGAATCCCTGTGTTAATTTAAGTTTGGACAAGCTGGCTTACACTGGCAATGATAGTTGCTGTGGTTGGCTGGAATACCAAATGTGGCTGCATTTCACATCTATGCAAAACTAGTCAAAAATGCCCGAATGTAAATTCCGCTGCAGCTGATCCATCACGGAAGGGTTTCCTCAGATATCGCATGGCCTTGTTAGCTGTCCTTTAGCTTCCATTTTTTTTTGCCAGGTGTCCCAACTTTATTGCGGTCTTAGACGAATACATTTTATTTATATTTATTGAATCTTTTTTGAGTTTTTTTGTATATTGGTTTTATGGTGACGTACAACTAGTTCTGTATTTGAAAGTGCCTTTGCAGCTCAGAACCACAGCAACTATCACAAATGTTTATTATTTATTTTTTTTATTGTATTTTTGTTGGGGGAGGGGGGGAAATCGATGTTAGCAGTTGCTGGTAAAATGAAGAATTTAAAGAGGAAAATGTGTCAAAAGTAGAAGTTTGTATAGTTATGTAAATAATTCTTTTTTTATTAATCACTGTGTATATTTGATTTATTAACTTAATAATCAAGAGCCTTAATATCATTCCTTTTTATTTATATGTATGTGTTTAGAGTTTGAAGGTTTTTGATAGCTTTGTAAGTATAATGGCTTTATTATTTTTTGAGCTTATTTACTTGTTACATGTTGCCTATAAGCCAAAATTAAGGTGTTCTAAAAATAGTTTATTTTAAACAATAGGATGGGCTCTCATGCCCTGATGCTGGGTTTGGTTTTTTTGTTTTGTTTTTGTTTTTTTTGTACAATGTCAAATGTTTGAAACACCTATAGTATCACTTTAAGACTCTTGTAAGTACTGACTGAGGCAGTTTAGAGAATTAGACTAGAACAGGTTTGTGTTTCATTGTGTTTTGTTTGCTGCTTTAGACTTGAAAAGAAAAGAGGCAGATAATCTGCTCCAAAGCAGTTCAAGGGAACAAACTGAGAGCTATGATGTCCCATAGCTAAAATGTGAGTGGTTGCATATAACAAAAAAAAATCAAATTTAGCATGAAGTTGGAAGCACAGCAATCTTCTTTTGTAAATTCTGATTTTTTTTTTTCACCATGAATATGTAATACTGAACCACTTGTAGATTTGATTTTTTTTTTGTAATCTACTGCATTTAGGGAGTATTCGAATAAGCTAGTTGAATACTTGAACAGTAGAATGTCCAGTAAGATCACTGTTTAGATTTGCCATAGATTACACTGCCCGCCTTAACAAGGGAGGAGATCAAAGTGCTGTTACAACATGTAAGATCGAAAAGGCTTATAAACAGAGTAATCTCATTGGTTAACCATTGAGATCATGAAGATACCTTGTATTGTGCTATGAGTGTTACACGAACATGAAAATGCATCTTTGATGTGTTGTTCCTGGCAATAAATTTTGAAAAAGTAATATTTATTAAATTTTTTGTATGAAAACATGGAACGGTGTGGAGTTTGAACTTCCTGATGCTCAATACCCAGTCTTCTGCGGGCCTTGGCCATCCCCGGTAGAATCTCTTCTGGTCATTTGCTTGAAGTGACCTGGCACCCTTGGCAGAAAGGAAGGAAGTGCTCCATGGCAAGTAAATCATTTCCTTCTCTGATATTTTGAAAAGACTCTCAACTACCCATTTAAGCTCATTTGTTTTGGAAGCATGGAACTTGATAAAATTTTAGGCTGGACTTCAAAAAGACCCATTTCTGATCCTCTCAAGGCAGGTGGGACCATGGATTGAGTTGAAAAGGACCTTTAAGGTCACCTAGGTCAACCTCTTCATTTGACAAGTGAGGAGACTTGGCCCAGAAGTTTTAAGTTTGTAGGAGAGCTGGGATTCAAATCCCAGTCCTTTATCCCCAGACCTTAAAACTCTCTCTATTGATGCTACTATAAAACCAAAATGGATTAATTTAGCAACAAGTACGAACAATTCCAGAATAATCTCTACTGGGTTATTTGCCTAGACCATCCCAGTGAGTTATTTGTTTGGCTTTGTGCTCTAGCAAAAAAAAAAAAAGTTTCAAAGCAAGCTGGATTGGTAAAGTTGGTGGGGTGGGGTAGGGGGAAATTTTAATTCATTTCTAGTTACTTGGGTTAATATTAATGCTATTTTGTTATAGACCACACCTTAGTAAATGTTTCCAACTTGATGGGGCTATTTCTCACCACAGAGGAAATAGTTGTTACAAGCTTCTGTAATACCCAGCCAATCTACTTGCCTTGTCCCAAGAAGTGAATAGGCACTTCTTGGGGCATCTTCACAAAACCTAGCATTCATCGGGCTTGCAGTTGTGGTAATTTGGCTTCCGGCCCATGATGTGGCCCAGAGGTCACAGTGGTTTCACTTGCTAGGAGAAAGCTGCCCAGAATGGATTAAGCTGCTCTTTCCCTGGGCCAGAAGCCAAATGACATGTTAGAAGGAAACTGCCCCTGCTATCCACAGAATGAGGGGAGAGCTGTTGGCATCATCCCCCAATCTGTGGTCAGAGACAGGAGCAAAAGGAGATGAACTGAGATGTCCAGGATACAGGCCTGTAGATGGTTTCTGAACATTCTCCCAACAGTAGTCCTCAACAAAGGTAAGTCACTTTTCTTTTGTGCCCAGAGGTTCTCATTGGCTGTGGAGATATGAAAGCCTGATTCAGTGAATAAGTTTCTCTGCCTCCCTCTTTGCTGTTGGCCTTTTGCTTGTGTTAAGCCAAATTTTTCAGGTCTCTTAGTCGAGAGAAAATGAGCATCTCTCTTCAATTTCTATACCACCTTACTCCATTTAGATCAACACATGGGGACAAACCGTCAGAATCAGACAAAAGCATTTAGCATCTACCATATGCCAGGCAATGGAGACGTAAATACAAAGAATGGAGCAAGTCCAGCCTTATCGGGAAAATTTTTCTTCCTCTTTCAGCAAAATAATTGCATTTGATGTGAAAAGAGCAAAGGAGTTAGGCAAATGTTGTAGGCTTGCCCAGTCATACCTAGCATTTTCTTGGGATCAGTGGGGGCTTAAAGTTAGAAGGATGGTGTTAAAAATGACAAGATGTGTTTCAGCTTGTAAGGAAGGGAAACATGAGCAGCAAGGACTAGACATTCATATACAATCTCCCTGCCTTAATGAAGCAATATAGATTTGTCATTTTGCTTTCCATTCAGACAGCTGGGTTTCTGGAAGGTGGGGTCTGGTGGGAGGGAGCTTGTTTTCCCACTGTTGAAGCACACCTAATGACAGAGAAAGTCTGGTTGAGCAGTGACAAATGTTTCTTGGGCAGTTGCCAGTGCTTAAACCAAAAAAAAAAAATCTATTTTGCTTAATGAGCCGCAATGATTCTTTATTGCTACATTCGAAAAAGCAAAATTGTTCCTTGAAGGAAATGGCTTGCTGAAATTTACATAGGCAAGTACTGTTAAAGAACTGTCTCTTCTGAATTTCTTTGGGGCTTTCTCTAAAGAGTAAATCGGGCTAATCTCTAAGCTCATAAGCAGTACCCTGATTTCAGTCTTCTTCCCCCTCTTCTCCAGAGAAGTTCGCAGAAAAGGGATTAGGAAATATGCCCCTGGCTGTTCTGGGGTAGGAATAGAGGGTGGTTAAGAAGTAATGTGGTACCTTTTTTGTTCTCCATTAAAAAAACCTGAGCACATCTTCATTACATGGGAGTGCTGTAGCAGAGTTTTCTGAGGTTTATGAACTTGTTTTTAAAAAATATACACATTTTGCTGACTTTAAATATAATTGGTTTCCTTGTTAATCCTTTGTTTTATGCACTTAAAAGCCTTATTCTGAGAAGGGATCTATGGGCTTTACCACACTGATAAAAAGATCAATGCCACAAAACAGTTAAGAAGGCTGATTTCAATAGATAGGTTAGTAACTCTATAATATCAGAAGATAATGGGATTTCAGGAAAGGCTATGTGAAAAGTTAATTTTAAGCAGTAAGCTCACACAATAAATACATACGTTTGTATATGTTTATGTGGGGAAGGGAAGGTTGGAGACAGGTTGTTATTCCCTATGTTTAAAAAACGTTCAGCTACAGGTTACCTGAGAGCCAGGTGTTTGTAGGATTAGCATAGGTGGAAAATTTTTTTAATTCAAAGCACTGTATGTGGGGGAAGAAACTGAACCTGGGTGACCCATCTGGAAGATTGGCAGAGTTTGTCATTTTCAAAAGTGTAGGAGGCATGAATTCCAAGCTAAGGGCTGGTCTGAAATAGTCCAGGGTAAAGGCGATGATGAGCAGCCTGTTCCAGTTTCTTTGGTCTTGAGAGTGTGAAAGTTCACAGGGGAAAAAAAAAGTGTTGGTTACTAGGGACTGGGTGTTTCTGGGTGTCCTTTGAGTTTAGAGATTGCTGAGTATGGTGCGTTAGATTTGGCATCAGAAAGCCTGGATTTGTACTCCAGATCTGTCATTCACTCCCTATGACCTCTGGTAAGTCATGTAACTATTCCATTTATCCATTTTCAAAGTGAGAATGCTGAAGCAGATGCTCTCTGTGGTCCCTTCCAGGTCTAAATCTTATCACTTAGCAATGTAAGAGTACTGCCAGCACACATGTGTTTCAATGTGTTTGTGTGAGACCCTAATGGGAAGGATATAAAGTGGTGGGGAAATATTTCATAAATGAGATTAGTACAAAGAGCACAGGATAGAGTCCCAGGAAGACTCATCTTCATGAGTTCAAATGCAGCTTCAGATACTTACCAGCTATGTGACCCTGGGCAAGTCACTTAACCCTGTTTTTTCTTCAGTTTTCTCATTCATAAAATGAACTGGAGAAGGAAACAGCAAACCACTCTAGTATCTTTGCCAAGAAAACTCCAAATGGGGTCATGAAGACTTGGACACAACCAAAAAGAGTCAACAATCACAACATGCTGTTCTTGTGGATGAGATAGTTTTGGCTAAAGAAGACAGCACTGTTAGGTGGATTTGGAACTGGTTGAATGGTTGAACCTGAAAGAATAATCATTCATTGCTTTATTTCAATTTGCAAAGTTTCTTGTTGAGTGTCCTATGCTACTTTATGTTTTTATCAAAGACATGGGTTACATAATAGATGATATCCTAATATTCACGGATGAAACAAAGTCAGAAAGTACGTTTAAAAATCTGGGTGATAGGATCGTGGAACGATTTGCAATGGAAAATGTTGAGCTTGATCTAAGAAGGTGCAATTTAATTAGTAAAAGAGATGAAGTCTTCCACCTAAATTTTCAAAATCAACATCCAAGATCTGAGGTAGGGATGGTGGGATAGTAGTTTGTCTGAAAACAGATCTTAAGGTTTTAGGAGATTGCAAGCTCATTTGGGTCACCACTGTGCTATAGCAGCCAAAAAACTAGTATGGTTTTAGGCTGCCTAGAGAAGTATAGAGCTTAGGGCCAGGAAAGAGATAACACTGTACTTTGGCCACACCTGGAACACTGTGCTCAGATCTGAGCATTTTTGGAAGGAGATTGTAGAGTGGCAGAGCATCCATGGGAAGGCAACCAAGATGTGGTGAATGACTTCAAGTCCATGCTATGTGAGGATTAATTAAGGAGCTAAAAGATTCAAGAATCTGAAGATCTGTTGTGTGGAAAAAGTATGACGCTTATTTCACTAGTCTGCAGAGGATAGAGCTGGGAGTAATGGGTTGCAGGGAGGAAGTTTTAGGCTTGGCTTAAAGAAAAACTTGTAACAAGGCTATTCCAATAGGAAATGGACTGGCCCAGAAGGTAGCAGGCTCCCTCTATAACTGCAGGTCTTCAAGAAGACCAGTAAAGGCCAGAATGATCAAATTTCAGTTATGTTGGAGAGGAGATTCTCCATCGGGGTACTCTGAGGTGCCTCCTAAATTCTGACATTCTGTGATCTATTCCAAATACTTCATTTCCTCGAGGAGGAAGCTAAGACCAAGAGACTGTAATTAGAACAGGGTCACTCAACTAAGGAAGAATAGTCAAAAAAAGAACCCATGACTCCCAATTCCTCAAGTTCAGCCGCCTTTTCCAATACACTATGCTTTTTCCTTTCTCAGGAACAGTTTGTCAAATAAAAACACCTCCCCTCCCCTCTGTTCTTTACAGGGATATTGAGAAGGTGAATTTCAGATATTGAACCTGCTATTCGACTTGAGAGCAAAGTGCCTTTCTGTAGGTAGATAACATTTTTTTTTCATTATACCTATTGTGCACTTATAACATTCTTAAGGGTTTTTTCCAGCTATTTTTTTTTCAGTTCCGTGTAACAAAACTTAACATGGTTTTGTTTGAGTTTCAAATTCTCATTCTCTGTTGCCTTCTCCCTCCTCTTCCTTGACAAGGCAAGCAAATTGCTTTATTATACATGTGTAGTCACAAAAAATGAAGTTTTAATTTTGAAAGAAAAAGATTCCTAGAACCATCTATGAACCTCCTAAATATGAACCCTTTCTTTCCCAGGGTCAAAATGGACAAACTAT